GCCGATGTATAAATTATTAATAGGTGAAAATATCACGCGTGTCAAAGTCAAAGGTGCTCGATGGGACGATGAGTTGGCGATTAACACGGACAAGGTTTGGAAGGAATACTTGAGGAGAATGATTTAACGCCGCGCAATTGCTCTCATTGCTTCATCTAGTTGAGCTGCTAAAAGATTTTTAATTTTTTTTTTGACACGATTAAAAGTTTTTACAGACCAGAGGAAATTAATTTGAAAATTAAGAAAATTAAGTTTCGCAGAATTTAGATCGTTCTCGCAAATTCTGAAACAAAAAGCGGATTAAACGAGTCTTGCATTAAAATCTTTCAAGTTTTACTATTTTTGAAATCTTGGCTATAATTTAGCTTATGTAGAATTATTACACGCTTTGAAGCGTCGCGCACCTCTTAATTTGCGACGCCAACCAGACGCGCGACGACCTTCTTTGTTTAAGCTCGTTGGGGACTGATGGCAAGCTGCATCGTCGTTAACTTGGAAATCGTATATTATACTTAATATCGCATTACGATCACCGTCGTATTACCATTCGCGATTTAAGCGGCGGCCTCTCGCCGAATGCGCGCACTTAACAACAGGTTACGACTATCAGCGAAATAATTTGACCGGTCTCCTTTCACTCGTTCGCGCTCCAAATTAGTAAATCCACAAGACAAATGTTGCGGGTTGATTATCATACGTTTCGTGCTACGTGTGCCTGCCTCTCGGAAATAGCGTGTGACGAAACGCCGAGAGAAAAAAAAGTAAATCTTCGGGAGTGAAATTTTAATCGCGATATGTGGCAATGCGCGACTCACATCTCTCACCTCGATTTCGCACGCCTAACCCCGCCGTTAGTTCGGGCAATTAGCAAATTCTTATGGCGTATTAAGATGCTCGCTCGCGTTTAATTTTACAATCAATTACCACCGCTCCGTCGTTGAAGGAATAAGTTCCGGTGTTTAACGATACACACACGTCGCGCAATAATCTCGTGATAATTAGGATATTCGTGGGAACCTCTTCATTAAAAGCGCATTAAAAGACGCGGCGCGCGGAAGGACGCGTCTTCGGAAACGTGTTAGCGGAAACCGGTCCCCGGGCTCGCGCGCGAGCAGCGCGATACCGCGCAATTTCTCCGGATTAAGGGGAAGTAACGCGCTTGTATTCCTATTTATAGCCGGCACCGAGGTTGCACGCGCACCCCCGTGTTTCCCTTCGGCCTTCCCAGCCGCGCTCCTCGGTGCACGTGTGGATGCGCCTTTAAAAGGACACGCACGACTCCGCACAGTGCTCTGCGCGCGGACAGCGGCGTAGGAAAGCGCCGGTAGTATGCCTATATAAGAAAGCCGAACCCACGAGACGCGTAAAATCCGAGTCGTTGTAAATTTCTCGGCGAAGATTACCACTTCTCTTTTCGCTCTCTCACTTTTTCTCTCCCTTTCGTTTCGTTTTTCGATCGAACACGCACGACACGCACATTCGCGGGCGCGCGCGCGCACTTGCGGTTGTTAAGCGCCGTTGTTACGGACATTTCGAGGTCTCGCGTGATTAAGGCGATTTCGAAAAGTGTACACATAAATCAGAGACAGGCTGCAATTATTAGCTAATTCCAAAGTGAAAAAGGTGGTGGAGATCGTACGCGCGTCGGCTCGGCACGTCGGCTAATGGTGATGGAAGCGCTACATATACAATAATAAACAATTTTCCCATGTAAATTACAGGGAACACCGACTCTCTTACTTGGCGCTCCGTGTTCCGATCTATATACGCGGCGCGGTTCCCAGGAAGAGGGAGGACGTCGGAGCCGCGCGCCGCCGATCGAGGGAACTACCTGCATGTGCAGCAACGCCACAGAGTAGTCATTACGCCCATGTACACGATAACTAGATGATTAATTTATTATCGCCTTCCTACGGGTTCACCCAGTTACCCGATGCGCCCGATAGGTCAGTGCGAGGGCCGCGCTCGGCCAGTCTCGGCGGGGGAAAATATCGATTTTGCATCGCACGAGCAACGCGGTTGCACGCTCCAACGTCTCTATTCGCTCTCGGTCCGTAAGCACCGCCGGTACGCGGGACGTTATTGTACGTCACGTATATAATAGCCGATCAGATTAAATCTCCCCGCGCCACGGATAAGCACGCCCGCATTTTACACGCTACCGTTATCGTCGTTGTAGTCGTTGTCGTCGTTGTTGTCGTTTATCGGCGGAGATGCGCGATGTACCGTGATCGCAGAGGCGAATGACGCGGGTTGCGAGTTTATACACGATGTCTGGTTAACCGCCGGTGCTTGCTTCTAATGTGCATTAATATTGAAAAGATCGCCGAGCTCATTAATGATTTCAAATCGTAATTGTATCCGAAAAAGATGCGTTCGTTGCGAGAGCGTAATCGATATTCAATTGATACATGTTACAATGGATTATATTGTAATGTAGGTTTAACCCACTTTTGCAATAACAACATTTAATATCGCCAAATTGTTGGCTCGCATATTATTATTAATTATTGAAATACTTTGCAGTCGATTATTCGTCGTTATTAATTCCAACAAAATTTCAAACGATTATAATCTGTGATTAAATTATTTCAATGAAGCTTCAATGAAGATATCATGTCGACTGACGTTACTGTAAACTTCGGCTCTGTAAGCGGATTGATGCATCAGTCCGCCAGTCGTGTATGCTAATTTAAAATTGAAGTTATTACGCGACGTCCCCTTATATGTGCGAATGACCATTGTCATGCGACGCGCTCGTATCGGACACCGCAATAATAACGATCTGCATGTACGTCGGAATAACGGGGTCCTTACAGATCCCACATTGCAATTCCACGAGTTCTCAACGCAGGACCAACCCGTCATTTTCTCTGTGACAGACTAAAGACAACTTTATCAAAATTATTTTGGTCTCGTGCCCTCCTTTCAAGGCCTGCATATAGAGCGCTTGGAGATACGCGTCATTTTGCAGAACAAAGTTTTACATTTACATTCTGTGTCAGGACAGTCGTAGTCTTCTCTTTTTATAATGAGATAATTTGTTCTCACGAGTGGTCATAATTTTTTTTTCTAAATAAAATGATTTATTTCTCTTCCCGCGAACAGACTGTATTGGACTGTACTTTTATCTGTCGATACGCACACACACATCGTTTTCCGACATCTCGAATTCTCGCCGTCGTAACACAGTTTTCCATCATACGTAAGAAATCGTTCGCAGCTTATGAAGATTCATTTCGCCAAGTATGTTTCTACAGCATTGTTCTTCGTTGCGTGCGGATTTAATTCTACCGTCTAGAAAGTGAATCCGTCGGTTCCCAAGTATCATTAGTCGTAATCTAAGACGATCCACCTAGGCATATGATATGAAAACTTGACACCCGGTATGTGCGCTTCTAAGGCTCTTATCTTTTTATCGCCCGACACTGTTATACGCGCTGCCTATCTCCGCGCTGCACCTCTTTATCCTCCTTTGATTTTACAGCGTTACATCGCTGTCGCGCGGGTTTAATGGCCTAGAAAAGTCCGCGACGATAATGATCATATCGTGTAACTCGCGCGTTACTCGCAAACTAAATCGTAATTTTCTCAAGGGTGTCCTTTTATACTTATGTCCGACGATATAACTGAAATTTTATACGCGGTCGCGTTTATTCGACGCGTTGATTTTGAGAAGGAGCGGCTGATCTTCGAACGAAACTGCCATAAAGTGCTTCAAGGCTGGTCTTTAACGACCGTGTGAATGGAAAGGCTAAACTACCACGTGTCGAAAGAAATAATAATGAAGAACTAAAAAAATAACGCAGCGGAGTATCGAGCGTTTTGTTCACACGCTTCTTACTATTGTTTCAAAGAGAAAACTGTTTAATAATATGTACATTCACGCGGTATTATGGTAACATATTTTACAACGGCGATTGGTTTATTTCCCTGTCGAATCGGAAGATTAATGCGCGCCGCGGCCAAATTACAGCGTACTAATTCGCGGCTGCGATGGGGCGATAGCATGGTGCAGCCTGGACTTGAGATTTTCGAGACGGAAAAAATAAACGACGGTAATTCTGGTTGTTCGAACGAGACCGATGGTTCTTCCCTACGAACTACGATTTCCTGCACGATTGGCGAATGGTTCCCGGAAAAAGGTCGGCCGGTGTGGTCTTCAGCACGCAGGAGCTATAAGAAGAGACGACGGGCTTCCGAAATCCGAAAAACAATGTTCTCTTCGAAGAGCATCCTTTCATTTCTTTAAAACGGCAGTCGAATAATAGGATAATGTTATTATTATTAAAACGGATAACAATAGCAAATTTTTGAAATTTGTAAAAACTCTTCTTACCGGATGTCAAAAATTTCAAGTTAATTTTTTTCACCAAAAATATTTAAATACTTATATTCTTAACATTTGATTTTTTTTGCGATGCAAGGATTTCCCGGTATGCGCATCTCATGCTCGCTCGAGACGCGTCGAAACCGGAATCTAGATCCAACTTGATTCTTTCCACCTTACACCCCGCGCATACCTCGCGCACATCCTTCCTTCCGTCCCTCTGGCGGATGCAGCACGCTCGTTTCTTGAATTGCGTTTTATTTATGCGATCCTCAATGACCTCGAGGTAGAGATAACCTCACGGAAAGGCACGCTGCGGGACTATTTCTTCGCGAAAGTATCCCTACGATAACTACTCGAGGTAGCGTGGAGTCGCGGAGCCGCGGGGAATCGTCATCTCCGCGCGCCGCGCGGAGGTCGGCGTCGTCCTTTCCGAGATTTTATTGACGAAGGCGAGGCGCCGGAGTGACGCGCTTTCCTCGCACGAGGAATTCCAGTTTTACCGCGCGTTCACGCCGACGAAAATTTACGATATTTCCGATTTTCTTCTCCCCTTTTTTTTTTCTACTCTTGATGACCACGCGCGGTGCCTTATGCCGGAAGCATATCGCGCCGATAGATCTAACGGTGAATTAGCACGGCTGAAAGAGATTTTTCTCTCTGGTTGCAGATGCTGCGGTCGGCGGATCACCTTCTTCTGCATCCGAGCGGCGAGATCGTGCTCCGATTATGGTGAGTAAATCCCCTCCCTTCAGCGTTAGCTTGTGAGATAAATTATTTATGACGCGCGCTGCGCGCCGTCGGTGGTATCGATTTATCGGCAGGATCAATCGTTTTTCTACGAATTCGCGCCGACGAAAACGTAATGGTGCAACCCGTTCTTGTCGTCGGCTCGTATTTTCTTCGCGTGCACACATCGTTGACTGATCTTACTTACGTTGCAAGAAATTTGTAGATACGTCTATAAGTTTAAATTTAGCTCTTAAACTTCCTTTACAATGCATTTACTCTGTTAGAAAATATTTAAACGTAGGATTTGCAAAGATAAATTGCAAATTAGTTTTTATTTAGTTTCACGCAGAGAGGATTTTATTCGGATAAAAGCAATACGGCCATTGCGAGCAAGTTTCTCAAATTCTTTTCTCTGTTGACTCTTCTCGTATTCCACTCCATAGTCTGACTTGTTCTTCTTCTCAAGAAACGTGCAATAAAATGCATAAAATTTGCACGATATATCGAAGGCGAGACGCCCGAGGTACGCTCATTGTCACCTGACGCGGCCGATATGGAAATTGCACTTTATACATTATGGAGTATCGCCACCCACTTGAAACCGGCCTCTGCGTTGCGTTATGTATGCCTGGCGTCCCTTCGCGAATGAATAGTAACGCAATTGCTTCTTTTTTTTTTCCGCTAGAAACTAGGACAGCCCACGGTGCGTTATATCATTGCCTCGGATTACGCGATTGCTCGTTAACGCGCGTCCGCATTATGCAAACCCTCACCCACAAAACTGTTAAATATTAATTATAGCTCGCCGCTGTGTGTATCGCGCGCTTGGGCCCCGTCTGTTCCAGATATCGAGCGGGGCCAATACGCGCGCGATACCGCTCCATTAGCAGCCGTCTCCTGTAAATTAGGTCCGTCGCGCAGATTACATTCGGAGAAATTTTGTCGAGCACCGAAACGGCAATTTATCGTGTCGAGGGTGACGCCGCTGTAAATGTAAATGCGCGAATGTCCGCCCGGGAGATATCGTGCTCGTCCTCGCCGTCGTTCGATTCGCCCGGAGGTTGACTGATCTCGATTTACCGTTACCGCTCGGCAGAGGCGAGGAAGAGGAGAGCGAGGCCGTCGCTCTAATCTTCCGGTACGCTCCCGCCTAATTAGCCCTTTCGCTGCGAAGGGCGTGTGCATCGTGGGTAACTTCTTTACGAGAATAACGATGTAAATGACTCGCCGCCTGTCATAATTTCCCGCGCGTTTTCTCGCGTTTTTTTCTTATTTTAGGCGATGTTACGTAAAAGCGAGCTAACTCGCCGAGCCACAGTTTTGAATAAATTTAGTTTAAAATGCGAAGGTTTTTTTTTTTTACGTTCTCTGCTCAGTGGCGTATGTAATATTTTTTGGTCTGTTTTTTATGAACTAACTCAGTTTTGCATAACATTGCCCACTTAGGCGGCAGCTATCGTGCGAATATATCGTGCAAAAGTTTCCACGGTAACATAACCGCGGTTTTATCGCGCGATTACGCTCCCTGCTGACACAGGAACTATTTTAATGGGGAGTAAACGCTTCGAAGCAGATGGCACGTGTGCGTTTTATTTTTCTGACTCTCTCGACGTGTACATTACTACCCTCGCAAACACGAAAGGCCGTTGAATTGCGTGGCCGATCGCGACTCGTGCTTATGTGTGCCCACGCGCAAGTAATGTAGACACTACACACGCTGAAAAAAGAAAAATTATGCAAATGAGTACGCTCGCAGAAAGATACGTCGCGATTCTTTGAATTATTACTCACTTCCGTGTTGAATGCAATCGATTTCCCTTCTCGCTAATCTTTTATCAAGAGCGGATTAAGCTACCAATTTCTACGTCGCTATATATTTTTCTTATTCACGTTAAGGAATGATATGCCGTTAAATATAGTGGACGGGCGTGTAATCGCGAAAAGCGGCCGCGTTTCGCGCGTTTCTTAAGTGAAATATTAAGCATTATGCGGCACTCACGTGAGTAGAAAGCACGCGAACGTAACTCGTACGCGGCCTGCTGTACCAGCGGAATGAACGACGGCCGAGGAGCAGCAAAGGAACTCGCGACGGTAAAGGTACGTTCACCTCCTTCCGCTCGCAAGGCACGTGTTTAAGATCACGCGCCGGTTCTATTAAGCCGGTCAATCATTACCGCGTGTTGATTGCGATGATTGCTTTTCAGTCGACGGGCTCTCTCGGAGCTGTTCGTGTCACAATGTTATGAAGATTATAGTTTATAACGGCGTATATCAATTTGAAGAGTTAAAGATTTGACCCTTGGCTTTTAAACGCATCAGTCTTTGAGATTTAATAATAATCTATGATCTAATTTAATTACGCAATAAACCATAAATTTATGCTTGTGATAAAATTACTTTTCTTCAAAGATGAAAGGATGAGCTCGATAGTTTCGAAAATGACTCGTTTCTAATAAAGTAATTTTCCTATGTTTCGGTTTAAGGGTTAAAATTTTAACAAGACATCGAAGTTGATTTCGCGTTCCGATATTCGAGAATGCAATCGGCGTGCTTCGAATGCCGATAACGATCGAACATCAGCGCGGGATTCTAATCGGCGCCAGGATGACGCCGATGCTGTCTAACGTGTACAACAGGATGCGCGTAGATCGCGCGTACGGATAAATGCGCGCGTGTGCAGACATGCAACACGAGAGCGTATAATAACGCGTATATATGTACATACGGGAATACGCGCGTCGCACGCATTCTCCCGTGCGTGAGTCACACAAATGGAATTTCGTGACACGCTACACACCGAACTGAACCGCGGCGGTTTATTAACACCCGAGACCAGGTAACTCGCCTTGCAACGCTCGCCGCCGTCGCCGAGCATTAGAAGTATCTCCGGCGTTTCGAATGCACGCATCGATGCGTGGAGCGGTGCACGCGACCTCGGAGCGACAAGGACAGTGCGACGATTCATTTTCCGCGATGCCGACCGTGCGGTGGCTGCGCGCGTCCCATATGAGTATCGGACCGGAAAGAAATCCGAGATGCAGCACGGAATATAGTGAGCTCATATGTAGATAACAATTTAATAAGCTCGATAACAGCTGCTCGTGTCACGAAGCAAAAGGATGATAAAGAACTTCAAAAGGATGTGATATGAGTAATCGTGATGTAACATTTTCTAACGTTAAATTATAAAAGATAAAATGATTGTTAAATAATGACAATTTGTTTTATCATAAAGTTATTGAAAAACGGATAATAATATTTGTCTACAATATTATTCGATTGCAGGCATAACGAGATTGAGCGGGAAAATATACGATGATACGATAGAATATTGAAATACGTAACGCGCGCTCACGTTTCGAGTCGAAATTTAGCACCTATATTGAACCTTAATCTTTTATTTTGAGGTAGGCATAAGAGAGTCAAAGTAGATGTTATGCATTTTATCGTATGTATATAATAGCACCTACTTTGGCGCTACAATATGTCCGAAATTTCCTTTTTTCCTGCTAAAGCTTCAAAGTAGGGTTTAGTTAAAACCCTCCGTTTGACCCGCTTTAGACCCTGAAAATATATAGATTCCTTTTTGCCAGCACTACTTTTATGATATTATCAAGAAATTCTAATGATTGCAAATGTTCACAATAAAGAAAAATACTAACTATAATTTTGATTAACGATAATTTTTAATAGCATACAATTTAAAAATATTATTAATCAATACCATTTAGTTGAATTTTATTATCCTTTGAAAATTTGTAATTATTAGAAATTTCTTGATAATATCAAAATATAATATCAAAATTCAACTATTGAGTATTAATTTCTAATATTTTTAAAAATTCTATGTTATTAACAATTATCATCAATTAAAATTATATAGTTAGTAATTTTTTTTATTATTGTGAAGATTTTTTGCAATCATTAGAATTTCTTGATAATATCATAAAACTAGTGCTGAAAATCCATATACCTTTGTGATTATATTAAAATATTAAATTAAGATATTAAATATAAATAAGATACTAAAAACATTACATAATATTTATTGAATTAAATATTATTTATTAAGTATATGTAATACATATAGTTAAGAGTATATTATTAAGTATAGTTAACATGCGTTAAAACAAGTTCAGACAGAAATATTTATACAGAAAAAGGTCCAAATTAAGACTGAAACGTTTGATAATATTGTATCACTTAATAAAGCAATAATCAAAATACAACCACATTATGCATATTGCTCGTATAGTTTTTCATTCTTATTTGAATTTTAACGAGTACATCTAAAATAGTTAACATTTAATAAAAAAATTAATTTAAAAATTTTTTGCGTTGAATCTTTTTCAGATATCATATCACTATTTTGAAGAAGGAAACGGAAAGGTATCAATATTAATAAAAGTTGGAAATGCAACGAATTAAATATTTTTCTTTATGATTAAACATTATAATAACTTTTATAGGTCGAATTTATCTAGTATATATATATATATACTAGATAAAAGTTCGAGGTTTAATGGAGGAGTTCTCGCAGTAATACAATCTATTTTGTGAGGCTCTATAGGTTTAAAGTAGTATTTCAACATCAAATTATAGGAGATCAAGTTTTAAAAGAGGAGTTCTAGGTTCTAATTCCGTAAAAATAGGTTCATATAGGCTGTATGAGCATTAAAAGAGACGCTAAATTTCGACTCGGGGTAAGATCAGAAGATATTGATACCTTAGAATATTTTGTGAAAGCGTAGCCGGTTGCATCCAACAATAGCGCTCGACGTAATCCAAGATATAAAAAAGTGCGATAGTAGAAGATCCCCTATAACTGCGACAGCGATGTGTTTCGTGCGCGACTTCAATCTACCGCCGTTGGCTGTTACAAGCATTCTGTCGTGACCTGTCAGGTTTGCATGCCAATGTTCTCGCTCCTGGCGTGAGCTGTAACGTTGCACCGGGTGCACGCGGATCTGCATAAAAGTATCATTTCCAATACATCATTA